GCTTAAGCTGGCAGGGGCTCTTGCGTGCCTGGGACACCACACTGGCACTTGACAAGGTCCAGGCTAAACTCCTGGCTCTGCCAACAGGCTTGCTTAGCTAAACCCATGCAGCCCAGTCACTGCACTTAGCCAGGTGCTCAAAATACAGTCAGCAATTCTTCCCTGTCCATCCCACAGGGATGCATTACAAAGATGCTGCAGTAGGTGTCCTCAGACAAGGATGGGAAGCAAACAAAGGCAGCAGGCAGTAAAAGGGTCCAAGGGTCCAGCAGAGTCACCTGGGTGCCACAAAACATCTGACAGTGAGAGCACAGCCCTGCAGCTGTGGCAGGGGGACATGACAGCTCCCTGGTGCCCTATTTGACACACACACAGGAGCAAAGGTGACTGTTCAATACCGTGTCGGCAACACACCCAGAAAGGGCTGCTTTCCTCCAGACACTCCTGCACTTCAGTGCAGACAGGTGACACCATGATGCCTGCACAGAGCTCACCCTCACAACCCATTTCCTCAGCTGACAAGAAGCAGACGTGAGGTTTTATCTCCCCAGTGGGCACAGCTCTGGCTGGTGTGGAGGGAGGCTGGCAGCTGTGGGGACACATCTGCACCCAGGTCAGCTCTGCTCCATGGGTTTTATCTCCATCCACTCCAGGCCTGTGCAGATTTCAACACCCTCAGTGTCAATGACTTCATGCCCCCAAGTGCCATAAACTTCCACAACCACAGTAGCTCACAGATGGGTACGGATGGTTATAAAATCACGTCCTAAATTAGGACAGCAAGAAGCTGAGATTGGAAGAGTAGGAGGAAGTCAGGAAATCCCAGGAGATGATGGTGGGGGAGGGATTTAGTCTCTTTAGAAAACAATAATGCAGTTTAATCTGTTTTTCTTTTGACTTTACACACTAAAATAAGCTTCTCAGCTTCTGGGGCTGTCACAAATCATAAGGAAAATAAGGTGACTGGAAACCATCAGCAGAGTAAGAGCCATACAGTAATAATCCTGAGGAGCTGCACAGGGCTTTCCATCTTCAAAGTCTTTTACAGACAGTAATTTATTAATCTGCAAATTTCCCCTGGCCAAAAGTAACTGTTCTGCCTTTCTGCTAAGCATAAGATCCACAGTACAGTTCAGCACTGGGGAGAGACAGTGCAGGCAGTGGCTCTGACCTCTGGAGTTAGACCTCTGTTTCTTTGTCACTGCAGCCAGAACTCCACTGCTCCAGCCACCACCTGAACCCAGAAACATTGATGATATCTAGCACTTTGGAACCAGCTTCAGAGCAGACAAAACCAAAGTAGCTGAAAGCCTCTGATATGGGGGAGTGTAAATAGACATGTTCACAATCCAGCAAATAACAGCAAAGCCTGAAATAAAGCTCCCAGGAGAGAAACTCCTGGCTGCCTTCCAGCCACTACCTGCCATGCTGGGGTATCATTCTGGCCCAGTCCTGGGCTCATCCTACCACACAGGCTGCCTGATAGCCCCCAAGGGAGCTACAGAGGCATTTCCCATGCACACATGATGACTCCCCCACCAAAGGGCTATTTATGCACAGCAGGTACCTGCTCACACTACACGGGTCCATTAGATAATCAGCAGGAGGCTGCTCCTCCTCTCCTGGCAGCAATATTCTTCTGCTTTTGCAATTCCCTAAGACAGTACTCCCAACCACGGTCATCTCTTCAGCCCTCACGCTACAAAAGCTCTTGGAGGGTGAGAGAGCAGCCTGGTTAACAGAGAGGAAAAAATAGAAGAAGAAGCACAATTACAGCCACATCTTCTTTATAAGCAGGTATCTAACATTGGCCAGATTTGTTCAGAAACTGGAAGATAACATTATTCTCTATTCATAGTGGCTGTTATGTTCTTTGTCCATCTGGTTTTTCATCTCTTTTGAGCCAGTGTATATTTATATATTTATATGACTTCAGTAGTGCCAAAGAAACTATTGTACAACCAGACGCGGGTCCATCAACTTTTGTTATCCTTCCCTGGCTATCAGAACATCTGGGTTAATTAAGCATCCTGCAACATGAGTTCCATCTGAAGGATGGCTTAGCTAGGCAAGGAAAGCAGAAGACATCAAGTACCACTGTAAACACTGACCCAAAGGTCATGAGTGATGCACTCGTGCACTCCATGCACTGCAGGTCATGGATATTCTCAAGACCCAGAAAAGATTTGCCCACGCGTTCAGCGTGAGCCAACAGAAGACTCAGGCACCAATTCAGTCTCAGGCTCTACATCTATTACTCTACACTACTCAGATATTTCTTCCCTCGTTCAGCTTGCACCTCCCTTTCAGCAACTGATTTTGTTTCAGCACCAGCCTCCATACGCAGCAGAAACAGCAGAGCCCAGAGAACAGATGTTTAGAGCCACAGTGCTGCAGGCAAAATCTGGGGGGGAAATAAAGTTTGTGGGTTTGTCTCTCCAATAGGAAGCAGGGTGAAACATGATGCTAAAGCTTTCTGACACACTGCCAGAGAGACTGACAGCCATAGTGGCTTAACTGGATGGAAAGGCCACTTGCAACCAGAGCAATGCTGGCATTTTAGAGCTGAAACTTAGCAAGTGTTGGTTCCTCACCTCCTCTGTAAGATCACAGAACTTGGGAATCAGCAGAGCTGGTAGCCCCGGCTTAGGCAGTCCCTGGTCATTATTGCTGACCAGATTGCTCCACTGGGAAGGATGGCAGAGGCAGGAAAAGTGGGAGCAAACCACAAGATGACTCCTGGCCCTGCCTCCAGCCTTCCTCAGTCCATCCTGGGCTGGAGAGAAAGCTGGTCCCAACAATACAGCAGTACATGACTTAATAGTCAAAGCACAGAAAAAAACTCAGCTAAAATGACAAATCCGTACCAAGTCACATACGTTAAATATCCCAGGAACCAGGTTCCCCAGTGAGAGCTACCCATCTCCATGGCCCTGCTTGATGTTAGATGACCACCAGGGCAGCTGCAGTACACAGCCCTTCTGCATCCACTCCAGATAAGCTCAGCTCTGCTCCCCCCACCTACATCCCTGCTCCAAGAAGGAAAAGCAAGCCCAAATGCTGTAACATTTCCAGAACAAGGCCACTCTATCATACTGCTATGTATTTATGACTTTGCAAGGGTGAAACGAGCTCCAGTCTCCTTTTGGTGCCAATCCCAGGAAACCCTGCAGAGAAACAGAGGGCTGCACAGACGGCTGCCCCTCCATCCAAGCACAAACAGCCATCCAAGCCCATCATGAATAACAAAGGACATTCTGACAGCCCAAACCAGTTTATGAAGTCCATGGCACAAAAAGGAAGCTCTGAACTGAAGAGCACGTCTGACACCCACAGACCTGCAGGAAATTAAATGTATACACTGCAGTGGATTTGCAGGAGAAGTGTATTTTAACTGATCACGTGTCTCATGTATTGAGACTTGACTTACATTCTTGCAGCACTCTACAAGGGTCCTGGCCACCCTGTACAGCAAATCTCTGCTAAAGGAGACATGTTTACAAAGTACTAAATGCCCTGCAGAAATGCATGGAGGGTTCTGGTTCTGCCAGATCAATTGGCACGAGCCTGTGTGACTAAAATGCCAGGGTGCTCATTTCTGAAATCAGCTTCTTCCCAGCCAACTGTGTTAGCTTTTAGAGCTGCTCTAACATTTCCTGGGCAATCCTGATTCAATTGCACCTACCTCTCATTTCTGCAAAATCCCAAGATGACTGCACGTGGGGTGTTGTAATGCTGCCTCAGCAGGAGGAGGATGTTGCGTTGGTGGAGAGCAGAACAGCTCGTCCAGAAGCACAAGCAAAGCAGGGATTTTCCCAGCAAGCAGCTGAGATCCATGCTTCTGGTTCCCTCCTTCCCCACACACTCCCACTGCCTAGGGCTTAGTGGAGGAGACCTAGGCCGTGTATTCTTTATCCTTTGCTGTTTCCCCTTTGCTCACCACTTCCACCCAGCCCTTGTCAGCCAGGATGGGACATCCCCCACTAAAGATCACAGCCTACTGTGAGTGCCTGCAGCCCTTGGGCAGCCCAAGGGAAAAAACCTCTCAGGCTTCAGCCTCTGCAATGAACGCTGCACTGAGATGAACCTTGCTGAAGTGCACGTTGTGAATCTGGCCCACAGTAATTCAGTGTGGTCCAAGAGAGAATGACAGAAGAGCTGTTCATCTGCTCGGGGTATATTGTATCTGCTTGCTTGCCAGCATTGCAGAGGGACAAGAGTTCATGAGGGCGACTCATCAAACCCCTGTACAGCCCTTATTTCTGAACATTTCCCCCCATAAAACCAGCTCCTGTTCTTTCCTCCCTCCCCCTTTCCACTTGCCTCCTGCAAATCATGCTGTCTCCTTCCACCCCCAAATAGGAAGTCCGGAGCCGAGACATGCACAATCTGCCTCTTCACAAGAGCTGGGCTGAACGAGTGCCAGAGGAGCTGCGAGCATGACAACATATTTCCTGTCAGGAAAGTGACTCAGTGAGACGGGTATCAGAGCTTCTCTTACTCTAGAAGTTCCCCTCTCCCCTTGCATTGCTAAGGCATGAGTCAGAATTGGAGAGCTGAATCTCAGTTCCCTCCAGATCCAAGCAGGGATAGCAGAGTTCAGGTTCAAGCCTGGGTCCTTCCTGCAGCTCAGTGACAAGGCAGCTCCATAGGCCAGCCCTGGATTCACCCCTCACAGAAGGGCAATAATGATACTAATGACAAATTATAATAATGACTAATGATAATAATGACAAAGGGGACAGCTGGAGTTTGCAAAGCACACCTAGGTCGAGGTGCTGCTTCTATTTGCTCATGCACCTCTTCACACCACCCTGGTCGTCTCTACACAGAGCACTGTACAACAGCCCACCAGAACCAACACTGTCTTCATGCATTTACTAAAGTATTTTATACACAACTATTTAATCCAGAAATATTGCAAAGGCTCCAAACTCACTGCAGACAGTTTTCTCCTCTGCAGAGTAAGAGAGCAGGTCCATCACATGCTATGTCCTTACCTGAGGCTCTGCCAAGGGTGACCATGGACAGCCAGAGTGAAACCAGCAGGACACTGACCATCTTCATCCTGGGAGACAAAGCACACAGACCTGGTTACTTGACACTGTTTTACCACTGCAGGCCATTTTTTAACTCTATGTGTTTATTCCTCCGTTCACCCAGTGGTCCTTTAATTCTGGCACATCCCTGTTTTGTTTCATTAAGATTCCTTAAGGACAGCACCTGCACGGCAGCATCACTCCGCCTGCGGGCAGCTTGCCAAGCCTGGGAGGTGATGGCTCTGAAAAGGACAGCCCAGCTCATTGACTTAAGTCACCAGAATGGTCTACATCAGGGAGCACAAGGAGTCAAATGGATGTTTGCAGGCTACAAACATCCCAAGCTCTGACTCCCAAAAGAAGGTCCTTTGCCAAGACCTCCTTCTGGTCATCTCTAAGAACAAGTGCAGAGAGCGCTCACAGTGGCTGTGGCACATCTGTACTGAGTGCTTGTGCCACACTCTGACAGGACAGCCACACCAGAGCAGTCCCAACTGGCAGCAGTCCCAAGGGGTGCTGCCAGGGACCTGCAAAGGGGCCAGCTGCCAGATCCTGCTTCCACTGGCTCCTGCAGGCAGTGGAGGCAAGACATCAGCTCCTCCTAGTCAAACCCTCCTTGGAAATCACAGGAGTAAACAAACGCCAGGTTTGTACACTTTTCAGAAAGGATCTAAACAAAGGTTTATACTTTGTAAGCAGAAGTGATAAGCAAAAAACAATCCCAAACTTCTCCATTTCCACTACAGAACACAATTTCCTGTAATTTGAGATAAATGTACACTGCCAGAGTTTCACTGGCTGCCCACTCCAGTATCTGGCATTCGGCTCTCAGAGCTGCTCACTCACTGGAATTAAATACCCCTCTGTTTCTAGGTTTTTCAGGATGCAATTTATAAGCTGGTAGTCATGAAAACTGACATCTACTAGATGCTCTCATTAAAGGGGTTAAGGTCACATTTGATATTCCTGTGTGCTGTCAGATCACAAAGGGAGAAGAGATGGTTAAAAGGCTGAACTTCATCAAAGCATTTCAGCTCTGCCAGGCAGATGCAGTAATGAGCATGGTGATACTGTCAGGAATGTGCTCATGAGATGACAGAGAAACCTGCTCCATCAGGGTGTGTTAAAAGTGAGGGGGGAGAAGCCACAGAGCTCCCTTAAACATATCCCTCAAAAACCTGTCCAGAAAATATGCAGTACACAGAAGGGCTTTGAGCATAAGCAGAGAACACCTATGATTGCACAGATTGCAGAGATTAACAAGAATGCGACACGTGAACAGCACTACTCAAAACCCAGCAGCGGATATTGAATCCTTCCTTTTCAGGGCTTACATCTGAAAAGCCTTTGTGCGATGCCTTCCCTCTGCTGGGCTCATCTCAAAGAGACAAAGGAAATCTGAAGCATGCCTGTTCTTCCCTGCACAGTCCATGGAAAGGGCTGCACACTGCCTCTGAAGCCATCAGGCTTTCAAAAATGGTCAAGAAGCAAGGAAAAAATGAGGGCTTTTTTTCCCTGGGGTCCAGCTGAGAGGGCTGATCATCCTCTACCACCTTCCTCCAAACTGAAATGCCAGCTGCTTATCAAATCCCTCTCTATTGCCACCTACAACCAGCTTCCAACGTTACTTAAGACTCCATAGGGAAGAAACAATATTAAGTACTCCCACCCCTTGGAAATGCTGAAGAAAGATAAAACATTTTTATGCCATCAGATAAATGGACAGAGAGATCCAACGTGCTGCACTTCTGGTGGAAATGAAGGAACTTTTGGTAATTGAGATGCTTAAAGAGAGGAGGTGTAAAGAGTGGCAGGGAATCATTCCCATAATCAAGATCCCTCATGGTTCCCTCTCCATTTGTCATTAGCTAAATGCACAGCGTGTCCTAACTCACCCTTATTTTCAAGCGACTCTCTCCTGCATTTTGCACAAATCAGACTGAATTCAGCCCTGAAGCAAGCAGGAACAACTACAGACTTTGGATGAGTTTCCCTTGCATTGAGCAAGGCCATTTGCGTGGCCTGAGGCCAAAATAAACTACTACATTTGACTCGGTGGTACACGAACTCTGCAGTGAGCTAATATTTACATCCATTAGCTGTGCTCACGGGAACACGCTCCTTTCAACTGTCTCACAGAGCCACCAGGTCTCCGTTCCCATGAGCAAGGTATCCAAGATTCCCATGCTCTGTCTACTAGTAGGAAACTCCTTTTTTTCTTGCTCTGCCCAGCCATAAAATCAGAAGCCTTACACACAGAGTGATTTACTTCTGGTTCATTCCAGGCTTTCCAGAGATCTTATCAGTTGAGACAGACACAGAGCCTGTCAGATTATAGCAATTTCTCCATTACAGAGAAGGGACACAGCTGACCACAGCCCTGGCTGCCCCCACTCTACACAAAATGCAATAGACCATGGAAGGGACATGCACAGAGTCAAGGGCTGGTCAAGGGGAGGCATCACACCTTCCTGGACGCCCTGACCATGCCAGGGTTTGCCAGCCCAGCTCCATTCCTGTGGGACACGATGACTCAAAAATACTCCAAAACCCCAGCAGCCCCAAACCTGTGACACCCCCCCAGATAAAAAGCTCTGCCCACAGCAGTCCTGTGGTGACACAGGAGAAGAGCATTGCATCCCTTAGAGAGGGGTGGGTTTTGCAATGCCCTAAAGAACCTGACACCACAGGGCTACAACCCACCCTGGTCTTGCCAGGAACAGAAGAGTTTTCTCAACCTTTCCCAGCTTCTGTGTTTCGTGACAGGACAAAGCATGTTGCCATTTTTCCTGCCTGTGACGCAATTTCAGTGGTGTCTGATGAACTTCTTGTGCAATTCTGTAGAACTGCACCAAACACCAGCTTCTGTGGCTGCAACCAAAGCAGCCAGAGGCCAGGGAGTGCAAACCCAGGCTGCAGCAGAAGGCTTCTCCCAACTGCATCCACCCAGTGCAAATAAAAACAAAATGAGAAGAAAATCAGTGAGCGGGAGAGCTCGCCAGCTCAGAAATCACACTGCAGCTAAAAAGCAGGCAATCAGAGCAGCCAGAAGGCAGCTGGAGAGCTCTGATACTTCCTCAGCACTCCAGGAACTTCTCACGAGACCAATATACTCTGAGGTGCTCTTAATGTCTCCATAAATTAACATTTTAATAATAATTCATAGAGCGGTTAGGGAAAATGATCCATCACAGCCCTTGCTAGAATTTTTTTTAAGGAACTTAACTTGAAATGTTCACTTTGTTTCAAATCAGAAATTGTTCCCTTTTCCTTCCGGAGCACTTTTTTCTTCAAACTTTCACCTTCTGTCTACTGAGGAGCAAAGAAAAGAGGGGTGGGGGGAAGTACAATCATGGAAGTGTCTCATGCTCTTAACATCAAAGGGGGTGGAAAATCTAATTTTTTTCATTTCATACTGGTCACACGTGGCATTTCTGTCAGAAAAAAACATGAGTATTTTTATATAAAACACCCTTTAATAAAACACCCTTGCCAAAGAGACCTCAGCAAGGCATCATTCCCTCCTGCCTTTAGCAGCATGGACTCTGCAAAGCCCACGCACTTTACCAGCAATTATAAAACCAAAGACAGATGTCAAGTAATTAATGAAGAGAACTGCACTCAAAGTAACTACTGCACACCTATTCTCAAAGACACTGTACCAATTCTACAGAACAATGCTGCATTGTCCAGGAAAAATGCCTTTGTCCCTCCTAACCAGAGGCCTCTAGGGAGAGCTGATAGGTTTTTTGCTTTTTATGGAGAAGTCACACTACGGCCTGCAGAACAAAAGTGCCCTTCAGAACCTTGCCACTAAGTGCTCTGACTGAAAGGGAGTGTAAAATAAAGCAGTTTTTGAAAGAGGAAATAAATAATTTCAGCCCAAGCACGTTTTGCATAGTATTTTCTTTCTGTAATTCTGTCCCAACTCAAAAGCATTTGAGAGCCCCAAAAAATGGGATACAGACACAGGAAGGCTGGCAAAATTCAGAGTGGGCTAGCTTAGGAAACGCTTTGGTTCTGTGCACATGGACTTGGAGATGAAGGTTGATTGATGGACTGCAGAGCAGAGCAGGTGCTCAGGAAAGGGGCTCAGGAAAGGGGCTCAGCTCTCTGCGTGCCCACAAACCCTGGGTCCCTGCATCATCACACAGAGCACTGCAGAAGGCGGCTCGACAAGTTTGCTGGGTTTCTTATGGGGAAAAATAGATGTACAGTTCAAGTAAATTCAAAGAATCCAAAAGGCAGACAAAGGGCAGCCTGAAAAAGCAGCTGCAGAAAAGTAACAGCAAAACCACTAATGGAAAAGGGAAAAGGCCCTTCAGCCCCCCAGGAAACACTTTTGCTTTTCAGTATGTGCCGGAGTAAGTCAGACAAAAGGAGGAATTACTGTAGCATAAACCGTCTTGGTGCCACTTAGCCAGGGCTTGCACAGTGTCTCTCTGACCCTGTGGGGCCATGTGGGCACTGCCTGGCACTGCCCTTGGCTGTGGTGTCCATGGTGCCACTCTGTCCTGCCCTCCTGCACAGAGCTGGTCAGTGCCAGGGACAGCCCTCCAGAGGAACACAATGTGACACCTAGGCAGAAAGACAGGCCATGGCTTTTGGAAGTGCAGCCTTCACTGCCCAGGAGGAATAACCACATTCATGACAATTTCCACCCCAGGAAGAGAGCGGGGAGGGATGCAGCAGCAGTTTGATGATGAGCACCAAAAGCAGCTCACAGCACTTGCCCTGCTCTCGTGCATGCTACGCCACACTCATCACTCCAAACACAGGCACAGTGACCAGAGGGCCCAGCGCTGGCCTTGCAAAAAACATCCACATCTCTCCTCAGGGCAGGGGGCCCAATCTGTCCTGGCAGCAGCTCCCAAACAGCCAGGCACATTTCAGCAGGGATCAAGCAGAGCTGAAGCCTGCCCTGCAATCAGGGATATCACAGGAGCCATAGGTGTGACCCAGTCACTGCATCTACTGGTGACACATCCCAGGCAGGGACCTGCAAAATCAGAGCTGGAGTCCCACCTGG